TCCTTTGTTCGAGAAGGGCATGGCGCACTAATTACCCCTGAAGGTGCAAGTGAGATAGTCAACAACGCAGCTGCTAGAGGAGTTGTCATCGTCGGTTCAGGCAAAGGTTGTTCTGATGAAGGAGTTATTTGTATAGGCTGCTGCCCTGGTGGAGGAGTCACAACAATAGTCCCTTCAACTCCAGGATTGGGTGAACCTACACACGAAAACAGTAGGAACGTAGAAGGAAAATGCATGGGGATTCGAAATAAAACATGCTTACCAGTCGGAGAAACAGGAGTGTAAGCAGAGGCTTTATCGAAAGTGATCCTCGGCATGACGTCTGAATAGGGGATGGTATCCACAGAGTCTACATCATCAGCAACGTTATCATCACCCTCTTCGTTATTGTCGTCTCCGGCATCATCGCCAGCGTCAGCACCTCCACCTCCAGGAGAATTTTCATAATCCATGTTCTCCTCACCACTTGTTGCTGAAGGTCCAGGCGAGCCTACAACGGTAATTGGTTTAGATATTAATGTAAGAAGATATTCCCTTGTCTATTTCATTCTAGTAATTGTCAATATATACAAACTAGATGACTGACATTATGGAGAGTAATATGCTCCTGCCATATTTACAATATATGTACAAATCCTGACATTATGGAGAGTAATTTACTCATGCCATATTTACAAGATTCTAATAATAATCAAAGATTATTTACATATTCTAATATACCCCCGCAGTCATAGCGGGAGGGTTGCGTACGCTAAGACTGTCTCTAAAGTCTTCAAACAAAAGTTGAGGAAGCCCCTTTGTAAAAATGTCGGCAATCTGATAACGGGAAGGAACGTGGAGAACACGAACCTGACCACGGGCTACCTTTTCGCGTACGAAGTGAATGTCCATCTTAATGTGCTTGGTGCGTTGATGTTGGACCGGGTTACCGGAGAGGTAAATGGCACTGACATTATCGCAATACACCAAGGTGGCTTTCTTGATTGGACAACGAAGTTCCAACAGTAAGTTCCGTAGCCAACAAGATTCAGCCACTACGTTAGCAACCCCACGGTACTTAGCCTCAGCACTGGAACGAGATAAAGTGGGTTTCCGTTTTGCAGACCAAGATATCAAATTATCACCGAGATACACACAATAACCCGAGGTGGATCGCCGGGTGTCCGGGCAACCACCCTAATCGGCATCTGTATAAGAAATAAGGCCTGCAAGTGAAGATGGAGAAAGATGCATACCAAGCTTAAGGGTAATCGGCATCTGTATAAGAAATAAGGCCTGCAAGTGAAGATGGAGAAAGATGCATACCAAGCTTAAGGGTGCCTTGCAAATAACGTAGGATACAGGCCTGCAAGTGAAGATGGAGAAAGATGCATACCAAGCTTAAGGGTGCCTTGCAAATAACGTAGGATACGGCGAAGAGCATGCATGTGCTCCTGGCGTGGATCGTGCATATATAAGCAGATTTGCTGGACAGCATATGATATGTCCGGTCTAGTGAAGGTCAAGTATTGTAGTGCTCCAGCGAGACTACGGTACAATACAGCATATGATATGTCCGGTCTAGTGAAGGTCAAGTATTGTAGTGCTCCAGCGAGACTACGGTACAATGTGGGATCATCAACAGGAGGACCAGAATTGGCACTTAGCTTGGCTTTTGTATCGACGGGAGTGGAGGAGGGCTTGCATGAAGACATATTAGCTCGAGCAATGATGTCTTTGGCATAATTCTTTTGTGACAAAAAAGACCACCTGCATGTCTTGTTACAGAAATACCAAGAAAAGAACTTAACGGGCCCAAATCTGTCATGGCAAATTCTGAACTGAGTTGAGACATGATAGACACTCGAAGAGTGTCCGAAGAGGCGGTGAGTACAATATCATCAACGTACAAAAGAATGTATGCAATGTCTTTGCCATGACAATAAATGAAAAGAGAGTTGTCGGACTTGTTGTGAGTGAACCCAATAGTAGAAGCAAAAGTAGCAAATCGACGGTACCATGCATGAGGGGCCTGTTTGAGACCCATAAAGGGCCTTCTTAAGAAGGCATACATGACCCGGAGTAGTACGATGTCGGAGGCCGGGCGGTTGGTGCATGTATACTGTTTCTTCAAGATCACCATTCAAGAAAGCATTCTTGACGTCCATTTGATGAATGGACCAAGAACGTGATAGGGCAATGCTAAGTACAATACGAATAGTGGCGGGCTTGACCACCAGACTGAAAGTTTCGTCACAATCAATGCCAACCTGTTGATTCCTACCATTAACAACAAGTCGGGCTTTATGCCTCTCAAAATTTCCGTTAGCTTTCTTTTTGTGACGAAAAATCCCATTAACAACAAGTCGGGCTTTATGCCTCTCAAAATTTCCGTTAGCTTTCTTTTTGTGACGAAAAATCCACATACTAGGAATAACATTGACACCATAAGGACGGGGCACCAACTCCCACGTCTTAGTTTTAATAAGAGCATTAAATTCATCCATCATGGCACTTTTCCAATTCGGGTCGGACAATGCGGCAATTGGGTTACGGGGTAAGGGAGAAGGCGTAATCGTAGTACTCAAATTAAAATGGAGTTTGGGCTTTACTATCCCATGTGTGCTCCGAGTGGCCATTCTTTGAGTAATGCGAGCTGCATTAGTTGGTTAGGGTGCAGGTGGGCTGCCAGCAGTTCCTTTGTTGGGCTGGGCCGTGTGAGGGAAATTGGAAGGGGAAGAGAGGGTGCCAAACTGGATGGGTGAGGAAGGGGGAGGCCGATTGGGCCGTGTAGGAGGGGAGTTGGAGGTATTGTTTGGGCCTGACTGTGGTGAGGGAGCAGGCTTGTCCGGAGTCCAAAAGATTATTAGGAGATGAGACATTGGAGTTTGGGCCGCAAGGGGGAGTTGGGTGGGGGGTGATGGGCAGCAGATTGAGGTGACTGCTGCTGGGCCTGGTGATGGTGTTGGGCCTCTGTAGGAGTTGAGATTGGGTTAAATAGATGATGAATGATAGCAGGAGGTAAGCCATTGTCTAAAAAATCATAGGTATGGGCAGATGGGGTATGAACCTTAGCAAACGGAAATTGTGACTCATCGAAAATCACATGACGGGAAATAAAGATTTTGTTACTTGACATATCATAACATTTGTAACCGCGATGATTAGAGGGGTATCCCAAAAATACACAAGGTGTAGATCGAGCTTGGAGCTTGTTGATGGAAGTGGATGGGAGGAGAGGATAACAAAGACACCCAAAAACCCGAAGATGAGAGTAAGAAGGATCCCGTTTGTATAGAATTTTGGTGGGGGAATTGTTTGTTAAGGTTTTGGTCGGGAGAATATTATGAAGATATGTGGCCATTTGTAAGGCATGGTGCCAAAAAGATGGCGGCATAGAGGAATGAGCAAGAAGAGTGCGGATAATGTTATTGATATCCCGAATTTTTCTTTCCGCCTTTCCATTTTGAGAGGAAGTACGGGGACACGAGAAGCGAAAAACCATTCCATTTTGTTCACAAAATAATTTAAAGGGGCCATTATCATATTCTTTCCCATTGTCACATTGGAAACATTTAACTTCCCTTTCAAATTAAGTACGGGCATGTGCATGGAATTGTAAGAAAAGAGAGTGCACTCGGGATTTTTTGGAAATAGGATAAGTCCAAAGGAAATTAGTGAAATCATCCAAAAACAAGACATAATAATGATGACCTGAAGTACTCAAAACAGGTGATGTCCATAGATCACTGTGAACAATGTCAAATGGCATAGTAGTAAAAGAAGTGGAGGAATAAAAGGGTAACTTCACGTGTTTCCCTAGAGGGCATGAAGGACAAACATAAGTACTCGAAATCTTATTACAATCAACAAAATTATTCCCCTTAAGAGAGCTTAAAACATGTGATCCGGGATGCCCTAAACGTTCATGCCATAAATGAGTAGATAAAGCAGCAAAAGTGGACGGGAAATGAGCTTGAGTTTTGGTGGTGGTGAGTGGATATAAGTCCCCCGAGCTATCACATCTCATAAGTGTTGTCCCCGTCTGTAGGTCCTTCACAGAAAAGCCAAATGGGTCAAACTCAATAGAAACTGAATTATCGTTAGTGAATTTTCGAACGGAAATCAAGTTTTTAATGAGTTTAGGAGCATGTAGGACATCGTTTAAGGAGAGAGGTGGGTGAGGGGAAGGTAACGAGGTATGACCAATGCCACGAATTGGAATAGTATTGCCATTACCAACAACAATATTTCGTTGATTGCTCAAATTAAAATAAGACGAGAGGGTACCTTGTTGAGAGGTCATATGGGAGGTAGCACCGGTGTCCATATACCAACCGTCATCCGGTGGCGTAAGGGCAAGGGTATGCATCGCAGCCTCGATGTCCGTTGGTGCATAGCCCATGGTAGAAGGGGCCTGTTAGGCCTGTTGGGCTGTGAAAGCCTGATGTGTCTGCTGTGGTTTTTGGCCTAAAATGCCTTGCTGAGATACTTGTTGCCTTGGCCTAACAGCACGGGCCCATGGAAGTGTAGGATATGGGCATGGGGGCATGGCCCAAGCCTGTTGCCAAGATGCCCAAGGGGGCTGCTGCCATTGGTTCCACGCAGGCCAGCCCTGCTGTGGTGCTGGCTGTGACTGGTGCTGACGGGACCCACCCCCGCGGTTGTCGCTGCCACCTCCGCCTCCTCTGCCGCCTCCTCGTCCACGACCACCACTACCACGGCCTTTACCACGGCCATTTCCGTGCTTGCCACGGTAATTATTGTTTCTGGAATGATCATTATAAGAGGAGGAATGGTTAGAAGCATCATGATAAGCCGAAAAATCATTACCATCGGCAATCAAGGCGGAACCAGCGGCGGTAGCTTCAACTGTAGCTTCGGTGGCTTGACGTTTTTCTTCCAAGAGGAGACTTGATCGAGCCCTATAGAAGGTGGGGAGAGGGTCTCGTTGTTGGATGTTAACTGCAACAGTGATATACGCCTTTGGAAGACCACGAACAAGAGTGAGCACCATCCGATCATTCGAGACCGGAGCTCCGACATTCGCCATTTGATCTGCCAGCATCGATGTGTTGGCAATAAGCGGAGCCATTAGGAAAATCTTGCATCTTGATGGTAGAGAATTGGGTCTCTAAGTCCACGGCACGAGAGTTTTTGTTGTCATAAAAGATATCCTGCAGCCTATCCCATGCTTGTTTTGCCGTAGTGCCGGGTTCTAGGATTGTGTATAGGAGGTCAGTGGAGATCGTTCCATATATCCATTGGAGAACGATCGCGTCAAGGCGAGCCCATGATGCTTTGTCAATAGTGGGTGTGGCTGCTGCATCTTTTTCAGAGGGAGGAAGGATGTGTTGAATAACGTCATAAGCCGTAGCATGGATCTTAAAGAGTTCTGCCCAAGAGGAATAATGCACCTTTTCCATCTCCAAAGTAATGGGGATGAAGCTTTTGATATTAGTGACAGCGAGAGCGGGGTGGAAGGAGGAACTTTTGCTTGCTTCACCCATGGAGATGAGATGAAAGGAAGAAGAAGAAGAAGAATGAGGGAGGGAGTTAGGGCAGGAACGACTGTAGAGAGATTAGGAGGAGAGAGTCCTAAACCTGCTCTGATACCATGTAAGAGGATATTCCCTTGTCTATTTCATTCTAGTAATTGTCAATATATACAAACTAGATGACTGACATTATGGAGAGTAATTTGCTCCTGCCATATTTACAATATATGTACAAATCCTGACATTATGGAGAGTAATTTACTCCTGCCATATTTACAAGATTCTAATAATAATCAAAGATTATTTACATATTCTAATAATTAATCTTGTTGTTGGGCTATGACTTGCATCCCCAACCAACGACATCAATGCTAATGTGGAAGGAATTGATTACCTTCAAGTTGCTCATGTTCAGCTATTGTAGCAGGCCTGATTGCCTCAGCATGTGTAGCAATGGGTGTAACCCCTTCCTACGTAGCCTCTGTAATAGGAGGAACGACACTTGAAACTTAACCCAGGATCGTACGGGTTCAGTAGGACTCATCATTGGGATGGACTCAGCATCCCCATGGAACAATTCGTCTTCACCTTCCTCTTCATTCCTTGGATGATAGAAGAAGTCCTCACTTGATGAAACAGGACCTGCTGAGCGAAGCCCAAGTCGACGAGGAACACTTGTGGCCAAAGATTCTTGTTGTTTTTCTGCCTCTCTTGCTCTAATGGCATCCTGCATCAGCCTTGGGCCTTGTGGACCTTCAGGAGTAGGAGAATCAATCAACAATCTTCTACGAGCAATTTTCTCATACCGATCCGCCGCTTCGGCATCAAGAGTTCTCTTTCCTTTTGCTCTCCTGCCACGGGGCTCAGTTGCTCTAGGCTCTTCTTCTTGAACTTCCTTAGGGGCCTCGTCCTCTCCTTCTTCAGCAGTTGCCTCCTCATACTCATCGAGCCCTCTTAGGCGAGATCTCCTAGATCCTCTCCTCGATGAGTACATTTGTTTGATCTCTTTCAAACAAGATACATTTATTCGATACCCAGGGACTTGGATAGCAACATGATACCAGTTGCTGAAGCTAATGGAAGTAAGGAAGTTGAGCGTTTTGTAGGGTAGTCTGAATTTGGCACCGGTACAGCTTGCTACTGAGTAATACCAAGCCCTGGCTCCCTCGTACAGATTTTCAACAACTACAAGTAAGGGTCTGGGGTTCCCAACATATAGCTGGTCGTATCCAAATTGTCATGCAAATCTGTAAGGCTGATATGGCTCGATCAAACACTTCGCACCCTGTCGAAAAAGGAGATAGTCAGGCCTAATGTTGAGAAGCCACCTGAAAACTCCTCCATTCAAATGGGTAAAGCCATTAGGCCCCGCCACATCTTGAAACATTCCGCCATATCCTCCTCCTTTAAAATCACGGAAGCAGCGATTGATATGATAGTTGGTATCCCGTGGTAAGATACGTCGGACCTTCCCCATATTAGTCCCATCCCACTGGACAGTCTGAAGCTGTTGCACCAATGGGATGAATAAATCTCCGGAAGCAGAAGGCGCATCATCAACGCGGGACAGTGTAGAACATACCATGCCATCAGATAAGTGTACGACATTGGTACGCGAAGATTAGGAGTCTGAAAAGTCTTCTTATCATTGGAGCCCACCTCCTTAACTTCAATGAAATCAAGAGCCAATTCTTGCAAGCCATGTTGTATACAACACATCATAGCTGAGAGGAGATTCAGAAGCCTCCCATACGCTAAAAGAACTGTCGGGTAAATCACTTCTGCAGTAAGAGCATCGACCGGCCTAGTCGGGACCACACATCTCTTCAGCCACAGCATCAAAAATCCTGTCAATAAAGCTGTGTCTGAAATAGGGGTCCCAGCTTGGTAATGAAAGCTCTCAAATTCAGTATTGGCTGGTAAGTTGTCCTCTATACCCTCATTGGTGTAATGGGTGGTTGCATCGTTAATCCGAGCTTGGATTTCTTCTGGAGTGCTTGCGAGCAAACGAGTTACAGAAGCTGCTTTGTGGTTCAAGTTCTGAAATAAGTACTCAGCCCACGCCAGTTGTTTAACCCCACTGCCTCTAGCCCCTGTCAACTGAATGCAAATGTTAAAATGACACATCACTTCCTAAAGGGTGTCATAAATCTTAGGACGTGTCTCGCTTAAAATCTTGAGCTCTCCTCATCCAGGAATGAACTCCTCATATGGTAAATCCCCAAAAGGAAGACCATAGACTTTGTACATTTCATGGGTAGCAAAACCCAACTCTCCTACGGGTGTAAAGAAGGTGAAAGTCTCTGGGTTATATCTTTTCAGTATATCGAAGAAGTTGTAATGGCTCTGAGCGATACCAAATTGTGTGGCCATCACGGAGCAACCAAGCCTAGACCGAGCAAGTGGAACTTCTAACTCCTTCAGTACAAATTCAGTCATCGTGGTCCACCATCCTGCTTTCTTAGAATGCACCCATCCAGGAGATCTAAATACCGGTGCAGGAAATTCACCCTTCTTTGCCATAAATTCTCTGATGAAAAGGTTAGCTGGACTAGCCATTTCACTAATTGGGTATTCCCGTGAAAATAAGCCTGGTACTAAGGCGGTCACTTGTCGGCTATAGCCTGTGGTGTGGACGCCCTGATAAGTCAGAGTATCAACTACTACCCCATCTTTTTCCTTAACAAGATCCTAGTCCATGTGTCGTGGGATGGAAGCACATTGAAAATACGATAGTAGAAACATCCTCTCCATATCGAGCAAGAAAAGGTGACGATCCCCGATCTTCCTTAACCATTTATAGTCCCCGTATTTAATGATGTTCCGGTCAATCTTGACGGAGTCTCCAAATAGAAATGCTGGCTTATTGAATTGTTTATGATCCATGGTCTCGAACCTGGCATCTGTGACCAAGGTCCTAAGAATTGGTGGGCTGGCATGAGTGATAGCCTTCGCACGTATCGGTGTCATGGAAAATTAAGAGTTCTTGGTGCAAGCTGAACACCAGGTTATGGTCAGCGCCACCTTCATGGCCAAAGTAATGATAGAAGGAAAGAGGCTCATTAGGATAGCGCACTGCGAATACACAAAATGGACAAGTTAGTGTGAAAACAAAATAAGTCTAAAGAAGGCTATCAAAACGCCAGAGTCAAGCTCGGCATTCCAAATTCAAAGACTCCAGAGTCAAGCTCAGCGCTCCAATATGCAAAGACGCCAGAGTCAAGCTCAGCGTTCTAAGATTTAAAGATGCCAGGGTCAAACCCAGCGTCCTAAAATTTATAAACGCCAAAGTCAAGCTTAGCGTTTCAGATGCAAAAACGCTAAGGACAAGCCTTGCATTTCAAATTCCAAACACAGAGTTCCATCTCTGCGTTCTAATTCGACCTTGTCAAAACAAGTTTGACAGCGCCCAAAACCCAATACTGAAAGGGACCTAGGGTGGCGGTGCTGATGCTTGAGTGGTGACACCACCGGCGGCCAAAGCCGTGGGCGTGCTTGGATTCACCGTACGAGGATCCCTGTCGCGTGGCTTGGAAGCGGTCTTCTTTTTGGGAGCCGTGGAAATTTTTCCGGAGAAGATGAACAGTGCTGAGCAGAGAAGAAAACGAAGATCTTCGTTGTGTTCGCCAAAAATAAATAGAAAATTCGAATGACTTTTGATTTGACCCCAATGGTCTATTTATATACAGCTCTGAGCTATTAAATCAAGACGAGATTCGAGGCGAAAATCTCATCCCAAAACGCAACCGATGCGTTCACACCCAGTCGGTTGAACTCCTCAACCCAACACTGCGTTTGAGTGTTTCAAACGCAAAATGCCAACTTCACAAGCATGTTTTAAATGCCAGGCTTACATGATTGTCATCCTTGCCTCTCAGCATCCTAAATGCCGAATTCAAAACCCAACCTCCGCATTTCTTCTCAAGAGCTCATCAATGCCTATAAGAAGGGTATTGTTGTTAACACTGAATACATTTTCCAACAGGCTAAGATGGAAGAGTAATTCAACAAGTCTACTGATGAGTCTGACGACAGTGACTTGGGCTTTAGCTTGTTTGACTAAGTTCTTAGTCATTAAGGCATAAAAGTCATCTTGTTTGGTTTAGGGTGCTTCAGTTACTTAAAACTTATGAGAATCTAAGTTTCAATAATAAAAGTAAAGAGAAGCTAGCAATATCCATCAAGGTGACGAAAGTCGATAAAAACTAACCTACGACAAGAAGCTATGCAACCTCTTGGATGGACAATCACTTAGATGATCCAATACCTAATTTGGGATCCAAAGTATTCCGAAAATTCGTTCCAGTCAACTGTGAACTTTTGAAAACTTTGGAGGGGATTCTGTAGGCTGCCTAAAAATTACAACACATAGATGATCCCTACTAATTGCTGGAGATGGGAATTACAATCAGACGATTTCCACATCAACAATTCAATGACGAAAGTTACAATCAGACGACTTTCAGACCAACAAATGAAGGCTACAACTAAGAAAACTTTCACGTAAATCGATGAATGTTACAATTCGACAACACTCATGACAATCGATGAAAGCCTTGATTCAACGGCCTTCGCAATCCATATTAGTAGAGTTACAATTTGACAACTCTCATATTACAAGGAGCTGAAATGAAGGCTACAATATGACAATCCTCGTAACGCTCAGAACGAAAGAGACTATAATATGACGGCCTCTTCAACTCAAAACGTAGAAATTTAACACTGTGTTTCAAAGATAGAATGAAGTCCAATCATTGTGTTCTAACCCGAACACAATCCCTAACTCTGCGTTCCACATCCAGAATGCAGAGTTTGTTATCAGAACGCCTACTCTGGCGTTTGACTTGTTCAAACATGCTGAATGGTTCCTTAACAGTTTCCCCATGATTTGAGGGATTTCAGCCCCACTTCGAAGCGGATTAAGGGGGCAGTTACACCCTTAATCTCTCTATAAATACCAAAAAACTCAACTGAGTTCAAGGTTCAGAGATCAGGTTCGAAAAATCAGATCC